TTCGCAACCTCAACAATCATCACGACAAAGAAGGGAAGAGATATTAACTGAGAGACAGGCAGATGATGGCCTTCATGGTTTCTCATATGCTGATGGTGATGACATGCCTCAAAATAGGAATCATGATACACATCAAAATGAAGAAGTGTACTGTGTTAACCTTGATGATGATACACACCCGTCCAATGAATTCACCTGTGAGCCCACTCGAAATTCTGTTGGAAGAGGTGAACAACGTGGTAGGCGTATGAGTAATTCAAGCTGCAGTGGGAGACGTGGGGTTAGTACGCACATATCTGAAAGGAGCTCGGGGACCAGTACTGGAAGTGGATCGAGAGGAACTCGAAGAAGACAATCGTTTGAAACAACCATACAAGACACCATCACAGGCTATAGAGAGTRTCAACGAKAAAGTTTGCAACAACTTTGCCCAGGTGCTTTTGACCAAGATGATTACGATGAGTTTAAAAAGGCAGAAGCGATATTTCTTGCGTTGGAGCTTCCAAAGTACACTAGATTCTATTGGGCATGCATTAACTCACTTAAAGAGCTAGTGTTTTGGAGAAAATATTTCATTGATATTGCTYMGAGCACTGATGAGGATAAGTTACAACTGCTAGAAGCTATGACCGGCATTTCACGGAACAACCAAGATGTGCCAAAACAATTGGGCTCTAACCAATCTCTTGAGAGTCAACATTCAGGAGGTGTATCATCTAGTAGTTCGTCTTCGGTGGGTAACAATTCATCTGGCATATGGGGTCCTAATTTTCAACAGTGGGGAATACCACCAAATGCACAACAGTGGGGAATGCCACCGAATGCACAACAGTGGGGAATGCCACCGAATGCACAAAAATGGGGAACGCCACCTAATGCACAACAATGGGGAATGCCACCAAATGCACAACAGCGGGGAACGCCACCAAATGCACAAAACTGGAGAACACCCCAAAATGCACAACTGTGGGGAACGCCACCGAATGCACAACAGTGGGAACGCCATTAAATGCACAAAACTGGGGAACACCCCAAAATGCACAACAGTGGGGAACACCCCAAAATGCACAACAGTGGAGAACACCACCAAATGTACATCAATGGAACACACCACCAAATGCACAACAATGGAGCTCACCATCAACTGCTCCACACTGGGGTCTTTCCCTAAACTTTCAATATGGGGGTTCACAATCAAACTTTCATCCAGGAAGGAATGCATCAAATTTTCAACAAGGAGACTCATCAGAAATGACTCCACCAAATGTTCAATATGGATTTACCCTTGGAGGACAAGTAGAAAATATGGAAAATACTCGAGAAGAAGGTTCAGAAGGTGTAACAGTAGGCACTTCACCTAACGTTGAACGATCATCACCACCCAATCTCGGTTTCATAAATTATTTTAAATCTGGACAAAATTCACAGACACATAGACCTGGAGGTTTATTCAATATATGGGAACCTCGCAAGGACGGAGTACAAGTCTAAATGAAAGTCATCAAAGTGATACTGAAAACGAGGATTAGCTTGTCAATTCAATGTTTTATAAATTTTATTTAAGTTAGTCAATATTTGATGTCTTTTGATTGTATGGTTTGTAAGATGTTTTAACTTTTTACGTGTTTTTTATAATTTTATAATGCAAAATTTTGTTTACCTAATGTACAATTTTTCCTGTGTTTCTAATTTTCAGACTTTTCGTATATGCCAGTTGGAAGCACAAGGCCTAAACAATCTAAGTTACGAAGAGAGAATTGAATTGTATAGTTTGGAAAATGACCAGTTTGAAGAATTAATAATCCAACCAACTTTGTCTTACTATGATCGATATTTTCAAAGAGCACCGGTTCAAACAGATGGAGGTTTGGGATGGAAAAATATTTGGTCGACTACAACAAGATGATGTCGCTTGTCTTAAACTATTACGAATGTCACTTCCAGCTTTCACAYCATTGTGTAACCTTCTACAAACAAACTACGGTCTCCAACCGACATCAAATATAAGC